TATTTTAAGAAGTGATTCTTAAAAATTGGGCAAGTTTAGAAAACATTCCTTTAGTGTTGAGAATGGTAAGAGTGCCTGCTATAGCTGGGCAAAGGCAGAAATGTGGAATAACAAATTTAGTTATGTGGGATAACTGAATTCCTTCTGTCTGGTCTTGTTCTCTGGCTAAAGGAACATCGATATCGGGTGGAGTTCCTTCAGCTTTTAGTGCCCAGTGATTTATGCTCTATTTCTCTCTTCAGGCAGGCCAAGTGTTGCTTTTCTGGCCACCTTGGAGGTCTAGCTGTCAAGTTTCAGTAAACTTTTGATTCACTGAATTTCTCTTCCTGAGCCTTTCAGCTCCTGCTAACATGAAGACCTCCTTTTCTCCCATTTCCAGTTTTCCACCCAAGTGCACATGCCTCTCGGATTTATTGTTCTCTCACTGCCTCCATTTTATTAATTCACCCAGCTTCTCATTCAACAAGTGTCTGTTGTGCCAGGCTGTGGGCAGGCTATGGAGATGAACAAGACACAATTCCTGCCCTCAAGTGCACAGTCTAGTAGGGACATAGATGTGTAAATAAATGATTAAAATACTGGTGCTATGCTAAGTGTATCGTAGAAGTGTGCAGAGTTGTAGGGGTACCAGGAAGAAGTGACTAACAAGTGGTGGCAGGCATCACTGAGGAGGTGACTTTTGAGCAGGTCTTGTGGTCCGAGAAAAGGAGGAGGGCATTTTTAAGTTAACGTATGGCTCATCATCATAGTCCTCACATTCTCATTGCAGTTCATCTTCTCCTAGGTCTCCTTAATATCTTTGCTCGTTTATGGATTTAATGGAGCTAATTTAGCATGGCTAAATTAGACTCTCTTGATTGACTTTTTCAAAACCTGAAATGGTTGCTTTATGTCCAAGATATCAGGTCCAACAGTTTGTCCCACATCATTTATTGACAGTGAATGATTGAGACTCTAAGCACTGGAGAAAGCTTTTAAAAGCCTTTCACTTTATCAGATGAGTTCTGAGCCAGCAGAACTGGTCTTTGTGTCCTCTAGGGAGAGAGGGAGAGAGGAGACGTAGAAAAAGAGAGGGGAGGAGAGGGGGTGGAGGTAGGGGAGTTTATGAGTGGAGAATGGGACAGGAGAATGCTCCTTTGTTTCTTTTGCAATAAAAGACATGATTTCCTGTTTTTAAGAATGTTTCCTTGGTAGGCTCCCACATCTCATGTTAGTTGTGTATATCGTTAGAGCATTGTATCCACCACGGTTCTAGTATCAAGCCTTGGACAACGTATATAGTCTATAAATATTTGTTGGATGACTAATGGAAAAAATAAATGAATAATGGTTGGTATACCAACATATTTCAGTGAGGTTCTTGTTTTATTTCCTGCATTATTCTTGGAAATTCCTCCTACAAAACCAGTAGGTCAATGCAATTTAAAATATCTTAATGAGCAGACGGATGTAGCTTGCTAATTTGACAAGGTTTGGTTTTTATTTTTTTTTTAAATGTACTGTGGTCCTGGCCGGTGTGACTCGGTTGGGTGTCATCTCCTACACCGGAGAGTTGCCCGTTCTATTCTCTGGCAGGGCACATCCCCGGGTTTGGGGTTCGATCCCTCGTAGGGGGTGTGCAGGAAGCAGCCTGTGGATGTTTCACTCTCACATTGATGTTTCTCTCTCTCTCTCTAAAAATCAATACAGCCCAGCCACGCATGGCTCAGCGGTTGAGCTTTGACCTAGGATCCAGGAGATCAATGTTCAATTCCCGGTTGGGGCACATGCCCAGGTTGCGGGCTGCAGCCGGTCAATGACTCTTTCGTCATGGATGTTTCTGTCTCTCTCTCCCCGTCTCCCTTCCTCTCTCTGAAATCAATAAAGATATATTTAAATAATAATAAAAAAAATCAATACAAATATTTTAAGAAAAAGAAGTATGTATCTACATATTTAAAAAAAATACACTGTGAGTTTCTCTTATTTTACTAATGAAACAGAGATGAAGGGCCATTGTGATTAAATGTACAGCCTAACAAATTGTTATGATTGCAACTTTAAAATATTTATTGTTTCTTGAAATAATGGATGTTTATTGTAGAAAAATCAAAAAATACGGGCAGCAAAAAAGAAAAAAAAAAGCTAAAACCAACCCATAATCTTGCAAGCCATAGCTAACCACTGTTAATACAGGGTGTCCCCAAAAAATGTATACACACTTTAACAGCTGATAGCTCAATTTTGAAAATGGAATATATTTTAATAAGCACTATCTTTATAATTATTCAAAGTATGTGTATACATTTTTTGGGACATCTGTATTTTGGTGGGAAAAAAATCAGATTTTTTTTCTATGCATCCATGTGTGTGTAAAAATTTTGTTATTCCGAAAATTGAATATACTGTATAAACTGTTTAGTATCTTGCCTTTTTCCCCGTTACATACTGTGACAATCCTATCTTGTAAACAAATATGTATCTACAGAACCATTCAGTCTCAAAAAAATATTTTTGAGGTTACACAAATCATTCAGGCTTTTTAAAATTTACTCAAATAATATGTTTTTATTAATTTTTTAGAGAGAGAGGAAGGCAGAGGGAGAGAGAGATAGAAACATCAATCGTCTGCCTCCTGCATACCCCCGTACTAGAGGTTGTGCCTGCAACCTGGGCATGTGCCCTGACCAGGAATGGAACTGACAAAACCTCTTGGTGCATGGTATGATACAACCAACTGAGCCACACCAGCTGGGCCAGGCTTGTTTTTAAAATCAGCTTCTGTTATATAGAGCAAGTGAAAATTCCCCATAATCTCATCCCCCTAAGGATAAACATTAATTTAGTATATATATAGCCTTCTAGACTATTTTCTCTATATATGCAAACATATCTATTACTTTTTTTTTTTTACAAAATTAGATCCTATTATAACTGCTGTTGTGCAACTTGCCTTTTACTCTTAATATATTTTAGACACCTTTCTGTGCCACGATATACTTGGAATACCTGCATATTATTATGTAGATTAGAGTTTCTCATTTTCAACACTATCAACTTTTTGTACTGGATAATTCTTTGTTATGGGACTGTCCTGTGCATTGCAGGATGCTTAGTAGCATCCTTGGCCTCTATCCCTTAGATGCTGGTAACACCCCTTCCTCCAGTTGTGACAATAAATGTCTCCAGACCTTGAGAGCTGTCTCCAGGGAGTAAAAGTCACTCCTGCTGAAAGCCATGATATAGATGGTATATAATGTAAGCATCTAGAGTCCTTTCAGTTTTTTCTTTTGGAATTCTTAAATCAACATGCTACCTTTTAATTTTATTTTAATTAAAACATTTTTAAATTTATTGATTAGAGAGAGAGACAGACATACATCAGTTTGTTGTCCCACTTATTTATGCATTTATTGGTTGCTTCTTGTATGTGCCCTGACTGAAGACTGAACCTGCAACGTTGGTGTATCAGGATGATGCTTTAACCAATTGAGCTACTTGGCCAGGGGTAGCTTTCAATGTTTTCATTACAAAGAATGGATCAGGGAATATTCTTAGATTGATTTTTGTGTACCTTTGTGAAAGTTGTCATTGAATAAATTCCTAGAAGTGTAGTTGCTGAATCAAAAGTTTGATAGAAATTGCCAAATTACTCCTAAAAGATTTTATCAGTTTATTTTTCAACTATATTCTGATGATCCCAAAGCTGTATCTCTTTCCTGAGTTCTAGATCCATCTATCCGACTGTTAATTGGATATCTCCTCGTATGTGTCTCATAGGCTTTTTGTTAAGCTCAACTCTCATTTACTTCAGTATAGCAAACGTGGAGCTTCTTGTTATTTCTCTGTCAAAGAATATTACCATCTGCCTGGTTGCTCAAGCCAGAAATGGTCTTCTCCACCCTACATCCAACCAGTTGTCAAATCCTATTCATTCTTCCTCCCTGATGTCTCTTGTAATCCATTCACTTTTCATCCCTTCCACCACTGTGTTCAACTTAAGCTACTATTAAGTTGCCCTGATCACTGTAGTAGCATTGGGGCAACTAGTCTGTCTGGCTTCTACCCTTCGTCCCACTCTCCTTGGAAGAGTGAGCTTGCCACACTCTGTGATCTTCAAGAGTTACTCCCCTGAGTAGCCCATCAGTGAGCACTGCCACCTGTCCACCATCTACTCCACCAGTCTAATGCTGAGGCCAACAGCAGCTAACGTTCATCACTCTTGAATTCAAATCTGTGTCCGTCAAAATATCCCTTCCCCCACAATTGATTATTTAATAAGTGTTGCCCTGGATGGGTAGCTCAGTTAAGGTAAAGAGTGTTGTCCCCATATGCCAAGGTTATGGGTTCCATCCCCCCGTCAGGGCACGTAAAAGAGTCAACCAGTGAATTCGTGGGTGACGAATTCTCTCTAAAGTTAACAAAAAAATAGGTGAATGGTGAATATTATCAATTTGAATATATAAATTAGTTTTTATACTAAATTTTGACTTTTAAATTCTGACTAAAACACCCTCTTCTTTGTAAGCCAATGCTGTATTGTGCCCCCTGCCGTGTACTCACCCCTGTTTTGAATCGCCGCTGTCCCTCGCCTGCCCGCCCTGCATTTCCCCTCTGTGCGCCCCTTCGCTACCAGCTTATTTCTTGATACTTCAGCCACGTGGTTTCTCCTGTTAGTCAGTTTATTCTTACTGCATTTATTGTATATATACTTTTTGTGTGCTTCCTGTATACTTTTAAAAATTTAACCTTGTGAAATAGACATACATTTATATAAATAATACAGACCAGTGAACCAAGGGGAGAGAATGTGGGAGTTCAGGCCCCAGGTTCCCACACAGGCACTGAGGTGCAGAGGGCCTTTCAAATATTCCATCCCAGTGCCTGAACCATGACTTCTCCCCTTAACTAGACTTGGGATTTTATGGGGATCTGTATAGCAATATAACTGAATACCCCCCAAATCAGTTTGGTCAAACTAAAACTTTGGAGAGATAAAAATGCCAGCCTTGCAGCATTCCATTTTGGTGTATCTTAAATGCCACAGAGACAAGGGGGGCCTAGGAACTCAGGAACCTCTGACATGGCATGCAGCATATGGCTGTGCTGGATTGGTGTAAGGGGAAGCCCTACTATTTTGCACAAGAAGTCAGCTGCAAGCCTGTGGGAAATCACACATAGCAAAATCCCTGGCAAAGAACTATACATTTTCCCCCTGCTCTCTGTAACACTCTGTAATTAATTTTATTTTTCAGTGAACGAGCACAGTGTAAGAATAATGCATAACATATTTCTGTTTCTTGCTGTTTTAGGGGACATCACACAGAAGGGATATGAAAAGAAAAGGTCAAAACTCCTGTCTCCTTACATCCCACAGACACAAGGTAGGTAACGAGAAGTGGTTTAACCTCTTTTCAGTATTTTTACACCAAAAAATGCTATTTTACAGGGAATCTGTCTTTTGTTGGGTCCTGTTTTTTCCTCCCTTCCTCACCAGGGGAGAGAAAAAAACGGAAGGAAAGAAAGGAGGAAATGAATCTTAACTGAGCATCTACTGTGTGCTAGGCACTTTTAAAATACCCAGGGTCATCAAGTCATTTGCACAGAGCTTGGGTGATAGTGTGTCTGTGCCTAGCTGACATGATCCAATGGCAGAAAGTTCCAGGTCCTGGCAAAACTGCATCTTATTTATGCCTGAGCACAGACTGTGATGCAGAAGAACAAGGGGAGCAAAAATAAGACGGAAGGACAGATTCAGTATTGCAAGGCAACGCAGGGACTGGAGAACCTGAGGATTTAGGGGTAAGAACCCTAAGTGAACTTTTAAATTAACATACAGCCTGACATTTCTTCCCTAAAGAGACTGGCATTTTCTTTATTTTTATTTGTTTGTTTGTTTGTTTATTTATTTAAATCCTCACCCAAGGACATTTTTTCCATTGCTTTTCGGAGAGAGTGGAAGGGGAGGAAAGAGAGAAAGAGAGAGAAACATTGATGTGAGAGAGACACATTGATTGGTTGCCTCCCGCTTGCGCACCAGCCAGGCCAGGGATTAAGCCTGCAGTCAAGGTACGTGCCCTTGGCTGGAATCAAACCCGGGACCCTTCAGTCTGTGGGCCAATGCTCTAACCACTGAGCCAAACCTGCTAGGGCTATTCTTATTTTTTTTAAACCCAAGGACATGTCTTTTTTGTTTTGTTTTGTTTTATTGTTTTTAAATTGATTTTTAGAGAGAGAGAGGAAGGGAGGGAGAGAGAAAAAAATATCAATGTGGAGTTGAAACATAGATCACCTCCCATGCATGCCCCAACCAGGGATCGAACCTGCAACCTAGATATGTGCCTTGACCAGTAATCGAACCCACAACCTTTTTGGAGTAAGGGGACGATGCTCCAACCGAGCCACGCAGCCAGGGTCTGGCATGTTCTTTATACATCAGAAAGTTCTGAGTCACTTTTGTGCTTAATTCCAGAGGGCTTCCTTCAACATTTGCTTCCAGGCAAGGCTGCCTGTCTCTAAGTCATCATATTTTTAGAGTTACTCAGATTTCAGGATTTCCTTTGAAAGCTTATTTCTGCTTTAATCACTTTTACTATGAGGAATTTTTTATTTATTTCTAATTTCCCTCTTGCAATCAAAATCCATTTCCACAAGCCTGTTTTTTGTGGAGCTAATTGCTTTTAAAATACCCAGGGTCATCAAGCCATTTAATTTCTGGATTACATATACCTTGAGAACTCTGTATTCCCCACAGTTCTAATATCGAGCCTTGCGCAGGATGTATAGTCTGTAAATATTTGTTGAATGAATGATGGAGTAAGTAAATGAATAATGGTGGCATGCCAGTATATTTCACTGAGATCCTTGTTTTAGTTCCTGCATCATTCTTGGAAATTCCTCCCTACAAAAACTACTGCTCAGTGCAGTGACAGCCAGCTTAAAATATCTTACGAACAGATGGATATCAAATGAATTCAGAGAGAAGAGGTAGAAATTGGGGCAGTGACAGCCAATGAAAACCAGCTTTTGCTGAGGAAGGCATGCGGAGAAGGGGAGCACTCTGATTAGCTGATGAATTGTGGGTCTGGCCCATGCCTCAGTATGCCCCAAGATTTACTTTAGTCACTTTCTGCAAAAGCAGTCAGATCCTAAGAAAATAACTTAGTATGAAATGTAACTCTAAAGAGGACCACGATCTGTCTGTTATCTGTAGTCAGGCTACATAGAAACCAATTATCAACTTACTATGAGAAAACACTGAGACGTGCTCAAGTCTGTGTGGTTGGTACATTCTTGCCCCATGAGAAGCCAGGTCACAAATAGGAAGTTGCTTAGTGAGTATAGATTTGACAAATCAGATGTTTAATTGCTGTAGGCCAGGAGAATGTGACATAGCCATCTGACAGTAGGGATGGTCTTGAATATAACTTCATGGGGGAAACAGAACCCATTTGATGGTATTCCTTCAGCTTCCTGCTGCCAAACTTCACACCTGCCACGTCTGTGCCCATCCTGTTTACCTTCTTCCTTCTGGTTAAAAAGGTAATCTGTCCCTCTTAGGATGGAATTATCCTAGGATAGTCATTCCACCTGTGCTTTAAAGTCCCATCCCCTTCTCCCTTATTCAGAAACCTTGTACTATCATCCAGCAACACCAGGGATAGGTCAGTGGGAATGGGCCACCCCCGGTGCAGGCAATAAGGGGTGTAGGATCTGTAGGAATTTATAAAGCAATAATAAAATCAACAAAAATTTGCCTGCTTTTTATTTTCACCATGTATTGCAGTTCTAAACACTGTCAGTAATAAAATGCTCCTCCTGCTGAGGCAGACAGGTGCACTGCCCCCTCAGTATGCCATCGCTGTCACTTCCCCGTCTCTTGTACAGTCACTCGATGCCTCTCAGCCAGAGTCTTCCCCTCAACAGTTCATCATGCTCGTTACTGTTCTATTTAAAAAAAAAAAAAAAAAAAAAAATCTGCCCTAGCCGGTTTGGCTCAGTGGTTAGAACACTGGCCTGCGGACTGGAGGGTCCCAGCTTCGATTCCAGCCAAGGGCACGTACCTCATTGCATGCTCAATCCCTGGCCTGGGTTGGGGTGCATGCGGGAGGCAAGTAATTGATGTGTTTCTCTCACATTGATATCTCTTCCCC